AAATAATGTTACAGACTGTCTTTATGTCTATATGGATTCAGACTTTGTGGCACAAGGACTGTTATACCGGATTGGGATTTGGAAAAAGAATCACTGGGAAACAGCTGAGGGAAAAATGTGGTCCAAAAGGAGGATTGGAAATCTATCTATGATTGGTTGAAAAAACACCAAGGAAAATTAAGAGTAAGGCATATTAAAGGTCATCAAAAGCGAGAAGGGAATGACAAATATTGCAATGATAAAGCAGGTGCTTTAGCTAAATCAGCAGCAAAGGAACCTTTGGGAGTTATGGGAGTTACTAGAGCTCAAGCCATAAAACAGGAAGTTAAACCTGAGGAAAGGTGGGGAAACTGGAATATGCAAGGTGGATATGTGGTGCATAAGAAAACAGGAGAAGTGGGTACCTGACAAACTTCAAAGAGAAGAGATTATTACACTGTGTCACTCTATGGCAGACCAAGAAATAGAGAATACTCTCTTTAAGGTAAAGCAAATTGGAATATGGCCTAAGTTATGAGAGGTCGTAGAAAACTTTGTTAAAAACTGCATAAGGTCTGCCCAGTTCCCTCAGCCTCTCCTTGTAAGTCATGTGCCCCAGCCCCCTAATCATTTTTGTTGCCCTCCGCTGGACTCTGTTCAATTTGTCCACATCCTTTCTGTAGTGCAATACTCCAGGTGTGACCTCACCAGTGCCAAATAAAGGGGAATAATCACTTCCCTCAATCTGCTGGCAATGCTCCTACTAATATAGCCCAATATGCCGCTGGCCTTCTTGGCAACAAGGGCACACTGCTGACTCATATCCAGCTTCTCGTCCACTGTAACCCCTAGGTCCTTTTCTGCAGAACTGCTGCCGAGCCATTCGGTCCCTAGTCTGTAACGGTGCATGGGATTCTTCTGCCCTAAGTGCAGGACTCTGCACTTGTCCTTGCTGAACCTCATCAGATTTCTTTTGGCCCAACCCTCCAATTTGTCTAGGTCACTCTGGACCCTATCCCTACCCTCCAGCATATCTACCTCTCCCCCCAGCTTAGTGTCATCTGTGAACTTGATATGGAACTGCAAAAGTAACTGATTCAGATAATGGGCCACATTTTGTAGGAGGAGTAATTAAAAGTTTATTAAAAGCCCTCCAAGACTTTCCAGTACCCCGTACCTGCTAAAAACCTCTGGCTGGTACTGCGTACTGGAGAGTACTTGCACTACTGTGCACCAGCCGTTGCTTCGCACGACCAAGCGGCTGGCTGCAAAGGGAGGTTTGCAGAAGTGCCAGCTCCCACTTAAAGGTAGAGTCTTTGCCCATGGTGCTGCAAAAATCCCCCTCTGCCCCTGCCATTTCTAGCCGCTTCCCTGGCTCTTTGTCTGGCACAGAGGGATCATGAGCAGCATCTCACCTTGCTCCACACACAGAACCGCCACCAGCAGGGCGAGAAGAAAAGCCTTCATCTTCGGCCTGCCGTCACAGCCTGGGTGGATCAGGCAGCTGCTTCTTGGGGAGCTGGTTATAAATGAGGATCTTGGTGGTTGCCTGTGAAGGCAGCTCATGCAAAGACTGTGAGTTAGCGGGGAGGAGACAGGAGACTGATGGCTGGGTGTGGAATGTGCAGGGGAGTTTGCTAAGGTGGGTTTTTTTCTTAGTTCAAGAGCAGCCAGAGGCAACAAAGCTCAGAGTGTTAACTGAATTCAGTGCTCCAGCAAATTTCATTTTGTCTGGTTTTGTTTCCCCGCTGCAGTCTAGAGGGAGGAGGAAATGCAGGACTAAAGCATTCCTGTGCCAAAAGCTTTTGCACAAGGAGATGGTTAATACACTGCATAAGCCACAGACACGGCGGTGGAAAATCCCTACTTTATCATCTAATATGGTGATTCTTAACTTTTCCATACCGCGTTCCAACAGCAAATAGGGTGGAGACCCTGCTCCCTGCCTTCTAGGCTCAGAGATGGGGTGGGGGTGGGGGGTCACCAGTGGAGCTGGCCAGGACATAGAAGCTCCATCCTGTGAAAAAGTTCCAGTTGGCGATAAATCCTTCTGTCCAAATCCAGATGAAAAAAGTTAAAAACTCATGGGGGTTTAAATGCTGCAATGTTGGGCTGCTCTGGTGTTTTCCCCGCCACAGGAATGTTAAATTTAATTATATTATGGTCACTATTACCAAGTGGTCCAGCTATAATCACCTCTTGGACCAGATCCTGGGGCTGCTTAGGGCTTGGATGGGAGACCTTGTTTGCTTACTGATGTCTGGTGAGAGTTTATAGCTAGGGCCCTACCAAATTCACAGTCCATTTTGGTCAATTTCAGGGTCCTAGGATTTTAAAAGTAATACATTTCATGATTTCAGCTATTTAAATCTGAAATTTCACAGTGTTGTAATTGTGGGGGTCTGGCCCCAAAAGGAGTTGTGGGGGGAGGTCACAAGGTTATTGTGGGGGGAGCGTGCGGTACCTGCTACCCTTACTTCTGCACGGCTGCTGGCAGCTACGCCGCCTTCAGAGCTGGGCAGCTGGAGAGCGGTGGCTGCTGTCCGGTGTTAGGATATAGATATTCAGGCCTGTCTGTAAAGGCCTAGACTCTAAGAATTTAGGTGTATTCTTATCACTTGGCTAGTTATAGAGGTATAAAAGAAAGAATCAAAATCACTGTCTGCCAGTGTAAGGGCCTTCTCTTACTGTGACAGTCTGAGGCCCTGTGCTTAGGCTCAGGCCTTTGGCTAATCAGCAGAGGCAGCCATAAGCTGGGAAGTGACCGGTCACCTGCTCGCATTCCAACCTAGTCACATTGAAAGAAGGTGCTCTTGGGCTGTTAGGAATACAATCCTGTCCCGATAGAGAACCTCCAGAGAAAGGGAAGTGCCTAGAAAATGTAAAAGGAAACTTCGTTTGATAGCATCCTGTCTGGCAAGAACTCACTTATCAATAGCTGGGATGTGAAATCCTCACTTCTGTATTGTTGTGTCATTATAGTTCCCACTTTGCTATTGTTTGTCTGTATAATCTCTGTCTGGTTCTGTGATTGTTCCTGTCTGCTGTATAATTAATTTTGCTGGGTGTAAACTAATTAAGGTGGTGGGATATAATTGGTTACATAATCATGTTACAATATGTTAGGATTGGTTAGTTAAATTTCAGGAACATGATTGGTTAAGGTGTAGCAAAGCAGAACTCAAGTTTTACTATATAGTCTGCAGTCAATCAGGAAGTAGGGGGGTGGGCATGCGGGTGGGGGAAATGGGAACAGGGAATGGGGGTGGGGAAATTGGAATCATGTTTTGCTAAAGGGGGAAATGGGAGCAGGGAATGGGGGTAAGGAAATTGGAATCATGTTTTGCTAAAGGGGGAGATGGGAGCAGGGAATGGGGGTAAGGAAATTGGAATCATGTTTTGCTAAAGGGGGAGATGGGAGCAGGGAATGGGGGTAAGGAAATTGGAATCATGTTTTGCTAAAGGGGGAGATGGGAGCAGGGAATGGGGGTAAGGAAATTGGAATCATGTTTTGCTAAAGGGGGAAATGGGAACAGGGAATGGGGCTGGGGAAATTGGAATCATGTTTGGCTAAGGGCAGGAATGGGAACAGGGACACAGGTGTAAGGCTCTGTGGTGTCAGAGCTGGGAAGGAGGATACTAAGGAAGGAAACTGGATTCATGCTTGCTGGAAGTTCACCCCAATAAACATCGAATTGTTTGCACCTTTGGACTTCGGGTATTGTTGCTCTCTGTTCATGCGAGAAGGACCAGGGAAGTGAGTGGGTGAAGGAATAAGCCCCCTAACATCCGGGAGCCCAGCTCTGAAGGCAGAGCCACCGCCAGCACCAGCGGAGAAGTCAGGGTGGCCTGGTGTGGTATTTCCACCCTGACTTCTGCGCCGCTGCTGGCAGGGCACCGCCTTCACAGCTGGGTCCCTGGCCAACAGCCGCCGCTCTCCAGCCGCCCAGCTCTGAAGGCAGCACAGAAGCAAGGGTGGCAATACTGTTGGATTAAAAGGGGCCAAAGAACCGAAGAAGAAAAGAACAACAAGCTGTCACTGCTGTGCCATCTGCCTGATGGACTTATCCTTTCAAACGTGAAACCAGTGGTTGGTTATCACTTCAAATCTGAAAACAGCATGGCGAAGCAAACCCTGTGGACTTGAATGAGGAGGAATTCCTATAAAGACAGACTCTAAAAACTGAGAACTTTGAGTCTGGTTCTGCACCCACCCTCCAGAAGCATCGAATGCGCATCTGACAAGACTTGGTATTTACTTGTGATTATAAATTCATTTTCAGGATGGGTTAAAGCCTTCGCCACAAGGAACAGCAGCTGCCAAAAAGCTGTTTTCAGAAGTGGTATGCAGATATGTAACGCCCGAGTTCATCGACTCTGATAACGGAGGGGCATTTGGAGGGGAGTTGTGCTCTGGGAATTACTCACAAATTCCACATAGCCAGAAGATTGAGGCCTGTAGGGTAAGTAGAAAGAATGAACTGCACTCTCAAAGAAGCCCTGAGAAAGGTCGTAGATAACACTGGCAGAAACTGGCCTGAGAAGCTGCCGCTTATTCTGGCTGCCATTCGTAGCAGTGACAGGCTGAGGACTAAAATCCAGCTGCACCAAATTCTCTTTGGGCACGCTATGAGACTGGTTATCGACCCAGAGCAAACTGTGGAATTGGCAGGGGACAACCCAGCTGGGACTCATGAGCACTGGCAATGGCTGAAGCAGCTGCAGGAAAATAAAAGCACCCTGCAGTAAGGGTGAATCAAGCTATTAAGCGAATAAAGAAAAAAAAATGGATCAGCAAAAAGCTGGGGACTCTCAACTGTGGGAAGCAGGAGATCAGGTAATGTATTTAAAATTGGGCAAAAGGGATCACACACTGGAGTCAAAGTGGACTGGTCCCTGCTCCATAGTTGATCACCCCAGCCCTCTCACTTACCGCATTGATAAGGATGGCAAATTGAAGTGGGTTCACGTTTCACAGATTAAATTGTTTGCTTGAATTATGTTTTAGGCACAATGCCCCGATGCCGACTGGATACCAGGCCCTGTGGACCTGGTGTGTTTTTATTGTCATTCTCACAGGATTGCTGGGCGCCGGATTGCGCTGCGGCTACTCCCCCTGCTGTGAGTGCGCGTTCTCCAGCCGGTCCGGATTGCACATTCGGTTCTTCGGGAGAGCTGTGAGAAATGACATCGGAAAAAAGACAAATGACATTCCAGTCAGCATGGGGAATGAAGCCACAGGTGGGGCGGTGGTCCTTGATTTGAATTAATTTACTCGCGTACGCAGTCGCAGCAGAGGGGGCCCACGAGCAGTGGTACAACGACACCCATGTTCCAGGACCCCTGGGAGAAGGTCGAACAATCCTAGCTGTTACACTGTTAGGAGATGGCTCAGGATCCAAAAACACCCCATGGATTCCCTTCTATGCCCCGGCCATCCGGATAAGGTGGCTTGATCTGAATACCGGCATTACTTTAAAACCCCTAGGAAGCACTCATGTCTACGTGGGGGAGGGAGAATTGGGATTACAGGTAAACATCTTAGTCCCTAGGGGGAGGGAAAGTAATTGGATGGTGGGGGTACAAACCGAAGGCTATTTTGGAGATACCACCATGATTGCAGACTACCCCTTACTCCGCTACATTTGGGATGGGTTTGTAAAATCAAGAACCTTGGTAACAGTTCTTGTGGTATATTGCCCAGAATACACACACACACGGGCATTCCCAAATAATTGTGCATAAAAGTGAAATAAAAGTATGTATTTGTAAGAAATACACCAAGGTCCATGAAGAAATCTGCACTATTCAAGGTCCAGACCACACCGGTGAAGGTTTTAGTAAGCCCCCTTCTGGTAAACATAAAAATTAACATGGATTGGACATGGTTAAATGTTTCTAAAATAGAGCCCAAATGTATACCTTACTCCCTTCCCATTCTTTCAGCATGGATAAGAACACACCAGCATCCCCCTCCCACTAGAGCCAAAAAGGATCTTATGGATACAATGCTGGCGAGTTTTGGGGTGGGAGCAGGGCTCATGAATTCTGTGAATTTAAAAGCAATTAAAAATAAATTAAGTTCTCTGTCCCACCTACAGGACAGCCTAATACAAAAACAAATACATGCTAATGTGGATCTAGTCGAAATAGGTCTTGATAATTTAAAAGCTAAATGGAACCTATGGTAATGGTTCAATGCTACCACCTGGCTGCTCCATAAGACACAGGTGAAAATGAAAAACCATACTGCTATAGCCAGAACAAGATAACAACAAGAAGTCACTGCTGTGGCATCTGCATGATGGATTTATCATTTCAAAGGTGAGAACAGTGATTGATTATCACTTCAAGAAGCAGAATAGAAGGTGCTGGCTTCCTGGAGGGTCTGGGATCCGCTTGGGGGTCGGGCTAGATCAAGGTGACTGGTGGGGGAGAGCCCAGTGTTCACCACCTATGACATGTATGCCATGGGGCTTGTGGCCTAATCGTGCCCCAGCTCTCACTGGAACTGTGGGGTGTCCGTGGGTGTTGTAGCCAAAGCCAAGATCGGAGTGTGCTCTGCCCACTGCTAGGTGGGTGTGCTGGGAGAGCTGGAGAAGAGGTTCTCTGCTCCCCACCTTTGCTAGGCTAGCTGTCAACTTTAAAAAACGATGAGCAGTTGCAAAGAGCACTTTACTCCCCGCCTGGCCCCACTGGAGTCGTGTGAGTAAGGCACTCCCCAGTGTAGGTGGAGCACGTGCTTGTAAAATGCGCGTTGCATCCTCTTCTAGTGTCTGGGCCGCAGAGGATAACAGCCCACTACTGCTTCTAGTTGGAGTTATTCCTTCCCTACCAGTGGCCAAGGTCTGTGTTGTGCGGCTGAAAGGCCTGGGTTCAAACTCTGCTGGTGACCCATGGAGGTGGAGGGATTGTTACATCCAAGTGGCAAAATCAAGCCCTGGGATGAACTTAATTCTTCAGATCTTGTTCTTCCTTAACCCATCCCCTCCTTCTCTTCGTCACCCTCACATAGCACTTCCTGTCCAATTTGCACTATAAACTCTCTAGGACAATGGTGGGCAACCTGCGGCCCATCAGGGTAATCCGCTGGCAGGCCGCCAGACAGTTTCTTTACATTTGCACGGCTGCCCGCAGCTCCCAGTGGCCGCCGTTTGCGGACGCCTGTGCAAATGTAAGCAAACTATCTGGCGGCCCACCAGCGGATTACCCTGACAGGCTGCGTGTAGCCTGAGGGCTGCAGGTTGCCCACCACTGCCCTAGGAAATGCACCTTGCCTATCTATTTGTTTCTATAAAGCATCTGGCATGCTTCTGACACTGTAATAATAATTTGATTTTTCCTTCTGAACTGTAGTACTTCGCACTTAACTTCCTTGAATTTCACTTTGTGGATTTCAGACCAATTCTCGAATTTGTCAAGGTCATTTTGAATTCTAATCCTGCCCTCATAAGTGCTTGCAACCCCTCCCAGTTTGGCATCATCTGCATGTATTACATCTGCAAATGTAATTGTAACCCTTCTGCCCGTCAGAGTTGGCAGCAACAAGGGCCGGGTTTAGTATCTAGGGGTTCCATTCCAACACACAATGCAAAACCGGCTTGAGTCCCCACCCAGTGACCTGGGACAAATATATACCACCCCTGCTGGGAGCCTCCAAGAGGCAAAACATCCCCTCTCGCAAGCACAGAGTCCGAGTGTAGCAAAAGCCTTTTAATAACAGAGAGAAACAATGGGGCATTATGATGGGGAAACACCACCAACAGGATTCATAACACAACCCATGAGCAAAAACCCACCCCAAGCAAATTGGGGCATGTCCTTTCTCTTTGGTTCTTGAGTCCAGCAACCCAAAATCACCCAAAGTCCCAAAAGTCCAACAACCCAAAAGTCTCTGTCCCTGGTCAGGGCAGCCCCAGAGCTCGAAAGTTTATCTGCAGAGTTTTGCCTCTCAACCTGGGGTGGAGATGGGGGGGGGGGCGGTTAAGGGGCACCTTACGTGGTCCAAAGCCGATTGCCGCACCTCTCCATGGGGCTCTGCTCTGCTCCACCAGCCATCCCACGAGTCGCCCTGCTCTGGCAGCTGCTCTGCTCCACCAGCCATCCCGCGAACGGCTCCACAATATTGCTTTAGGCCCCCCCCACTACTTAACACAACACTTAGTGATTTCAGCTCTTAGTAATTCTAGCTCTCTAGTCATTTCAGCTTGTAGTAGGGGAGCCTCAGCACTGGTGCACCATTGACCCAAAGTGATTTCAGCTTAGGAGCCTGTAACTAGACTCCTAATAGAATCAAAACTAGCTCTGATATTCCACAGTAGATAGGGGAGATAGTACAATCAGCATGTAGAACCCTCATCAGGAGGCCCATACCACTAGACATTAATACCTATCCCCAACCTCTCTCCATTCACTGGGTTTTGGAATCCATGACCCTTGCCTAGCGAGTGCTGCTTAGTTGCTGGTGAGTCCCTCCATCATAACAAAAGGCCAAGTACAGTTCCACTGTCCTTGAGTCACATAATCAGGATAATAACCATATATTCCTGCCCCAATAACAGAGAAACTGGGACTCCTACAGCAGCCAAAGTGACCATCTACACAGGGTGGGTGTGCCTATGTAAATGAGATCAGCCCCTGAAGTTCTTTTCCACAACCCACCATGACTCGCCACCAGATGTCAGGGTAGAGCTCATCCTGACTCTGCTTACATCATAATCATACTCATGTAGCTCCCCTTCTCCACCAGGTTACCTTCTTTAATGCCAATCTGCTTACAGGTTTTGATGGAGAGGTCTGGCTTCTTCTGGATCCCACCACTCACTCAGCAGGGTGTATCTTCTTTATTTTTCCCTATGAATTTATTTGGCGGTGCTTCCACCTCCTTCGCTCCTTCCTGGCAGGGTCCCCAGGGCAGCTTGGGAGGAAAATTCTAACCACAGGGCAACCCCCACTTACTTGCCAGATAGTTGGAGACTCCCAAGAAATAACACAAACACATACAATATATTCAACACAGTAATTATATTAAACAGGAGACAAATATAACGTAACAGGGTAAAACTCTATTCTTAGGGGCACTGGTGCCCGCGCTGATAATACCCATGACTTTCCCCAGTCACGGGACCTGATGTAGCAAATGTAAGATCAGCGTCCCATTGATATGTGTAGTTTGTTGGGGCCCTTGATGACCTATGACCACGATATCTTCTCTGCATGGTTTAGCAGGGTGGCTGACTGGGTTCAGTACAGCCCAAAGGACTCACAAGTGGGAGAAGGTGGTAAGTCCCTCCACAGGTTTAATACACAGCAGGTTATAAAATCCCCAAACCCGTACTCCCTGGCTTGAGGACACAGTTCAGGGAGTAGGGGGTCCCCAAAACAATTTCCCTGACTGACTGACTAAAAGATGGTGCACTCACAAACTCCATGAATGATCCTCAGGTTCAGAGATGACTCTGGACTCCTGGGTCACTGCAGAGGGGCTGATCTCTGCTGGCAGGGATCTTCGTCAGGCAGGAGTCAGGCTGCTTCTGGTCCCAGGATTTCCCCTCACCACAAAGGGGTGCAGGGCTCAAGGTGCAGATTACACAACTACACTAAAATCCAACTGTAGTCTCCTACTCCAGAATCCAGACACTCCCAGCAGGCGGCAGCCCTGGACTAGCAGCCAGAGCAGAGCTGACCATGTGGTGACGGGTCTCACCTAGGGAGCTGGGGGCTAACTCAGCCTGGCTGGGGAAGTTTCCCAGCAAAACTCTACAAACTGGGAGTCCTCAGTGGAGAGGGAAAAGCCCAGCTGAGGGATCTTGCTTTCAGGTCCCTAGAGGCCATTTCTCAGGGGGAACCCTGCATGCAGGCCTGGGACTCATCAGCTCCCCACACAGCCAGTCCTGCCCTTGCCCTGGCTGGTTCCAGACTGACTCAAAAAATGGCTTCTCCCCTTTTCTGAGCTCCCTGGGAAGTGCATCTCACTCCCTATTACTTGCCAGGCAGACTCTGAGTCTGCCTTGGCTCCCCCTCCCTACAGGGACAGTGCGATGCTCCCTGAGCTGCCAGCAGACAGAGCCCCAGGAATCTAAGTAATCTCCTTGGGGCTTACACTCAGTAGTGTCCTCTGCGGGACCCCACAGGATTCGCCTTCCCAGTCTGACACTGAACCATTGATAACAGTCTTTCAATCAGGTTTCAGAGGAACAGCCGTGTTAGTCTGTATTCGCAAAAAGAAAAGGAGTACTTGTGCAACCATCTTATCGGAATTTAATTTAGAACACCTTTCTCTGCTTTGCTTATGAGAATGTCATATAGGACTGGGTCAACATCAAGCTATATCATGCCAACCGCTATCCCCCATCCACTAGGATAGTTGTCAAAGAAGGAAATTAGGTGCGTTTGTCATGATGATTTCTTGAGAAGTCCATGCTTATTTTTTGTTTTATAACCCTATTACCCTGTCTGTAACATTCCGGCTTTGGAAAGGAACGTGCTGAGAAAGTATTTACAAATGGGTGTCACGGAGGGCGCTGGGGGAACTTTTCAGAGGCATAAATAGCAGTTGCATGCCCAGCTGCCATTTATGCCTTTGAAAATTTGCTCCTCTGTGTTTTGGGTCCAATCCTGAAGTCCTTACTCAGTCGACACACAGGGAAACCTATCACTGGCTTAAGTGAGAGTTCGGCCTGAAATAGCAGCTGAGAACATCAGGATATGGTCCATTTTGATGCTCATTAGCAGCAGGTGACAGGGATGGGGACTGTAGACCAGGAACCAATAACATATTCCTGCACGCCTCTAACATGGGCTGTGTTTTCCTTTTGCAGCTCACTTGCTGGTGTGCTTCACCTGTAGTGATGCGTCCTCCAACTGGGGTTGTCTGGCATCAACTACATGTCAAAGTAGTGAAAACTACTGCGTGACCACGTATCTCGGTGCAGGAATTGGTAAGTTTGGGCATGTTCTATCTATTGTCTTTCCATAGCGCTTTCCCTGAGGACATCCTGCTCCAGCTCCAGATCACTGGGTTTTCCTTCCTCCTTCTGCTGGAAGGATGGGACATTGCTGGTGTGGAATTGGGGAATCACTCCTTGAAACTGAATGGCAGGAGAACTTTGCTGGGAGGCACTAAGGGGGGCGGGAGCCCCTGTGCTTGTTAGTGAGGTTTGCAGCCGAGGGAGTGACTGAGAGGAGGGCAGTGCAGGCAGTGTCAGGCTTCCTGTACGCCAATGTGGGAGGCTCCATAGCTACCCCTCCAGCATTGGCTGAAGTCCTGAAATGAGGCTCTTTATAGCCCAGTCCTGCAGATGCTCCCCAGCAGTGGGTTGTGCTACTGCTGAGGTGGGCGAGGGCTGGGACTGAGTCCGCACCTGCTCCTCAGCGGCCCTGCAGGGGCTGCCATGGGTGTCAAAGGGAAGGAGGCTGCCTGCCTGAGTGGCTGCCAGCCTTGAACGGTGCGAGGGAGCAGTTAGAAAGGGCTCCATGGATCCTCTGCTTCTCAGCAGTGGTTCTCAGGGAAGCAGCCTCTTCTGCTCTGCTGCATTCTTGTGGCATCGAGCCCACCCCCCTTTCCCTCTGGTTTGTTGGGGGGAAAAGATGGCTGCCTTTGTCCCTGGACCGCAGGGGAAAGGACGTCTCCCAGCTGTGCCCCTCCTGCACCTGATTGCACCCAGCGGCAATTATACACAAGTGTAAATGTCGTTGCCAGCCTCTGCATTTTGAGCGGACTGTGAGTAGCCAGTTCCTGGGGAGGCTCACTGATACTACTTGCCATGTGGTTCAGTTAACAAAGGTAGTGGCAGGCTATTGAGTTGTGCAGGGAACTCGCCCAGGGGATGAGATCAGTTGTATTGCAGGCCGTTGTAACTGCCCTGCATAACTGACATTATGGGCCTTGCTTTCCCAGTCTGGCCTCCTTCCACGCCCGGGGAAGCCATGCGATGGTTTAAGCACCAAACATCTCACGTGCTGGTGCAAGGTTCCGCTATTGGCATGTGGAAGTGAGAGAATTTGCACGCTCCAATCCCAGTGCCTGGCTGGTTGTGCATGGACAAAAGGGGGCCGGGTTGAAGCCTTTTTGGGTATATTGGGTATATTCTTTCTATTCCCCACGGACATAAGTTGTTTTTGCGCAGACTATTCTTGACCGCTCATAACCGTGACTCCTTGCTTCAGCTGCCAGCACTCAACTCACGCCCTCATGTCAAACACACAGCATTTATACTGGGCCCATATGGCCTATCGCGTATTACAACATATACATCACAACAAGAGCAGCTGGATGGCAGGCCGCTGTAACTGCCCTGCATAACTGACATTATGGGCCTTGCTTTCCCAGTCTGGCCTCCTTTCACGCCCGGGGAAGCCATGCGATGGTTTAAGCACCAAACATCTCACGTGCTGGTGCAAGTTTCCGCTATTGGCGTGTGCAAGTGAGAGAATTTGCACGCTCCAATCCCAGTGCCTGGCATGTACCAAAGTACGGCTGGGGGTATATAGCCCTCTGAAATATGCAACACTGCAAATGATTTCCAGCTTCCTTCTGCTGCTGGATCACTTGATGATTCCCTGTTCTGTTCATTCCCTCTGAAGCACCTGGCATTGGCCAATCTCGGAAGACAGGATACTGGGCTAGATCGAACTTTGGTATGACGCAGCATGGCTGTTCTCATGTTATTAATGAGCTCTGCTAGCTACTACCAGCTCTTTAAAGCTCTGAGGCTCAACAGCAGGAGACAGGACTCAGTCACCTCTGTACTGCACGGACAACCCCACAGCCCCCACTGAACTCCCAAAGCCCTGTCCCAGCATGCAGTGGGCAGTGTGAGAATCTGGAATGGATTCTCAGGGTTCTTTGGCTGTTCCCAAGTCCTGGCCAGGAATCTGAAGGGGATGTTCCTAGATTGTTACATACGGGTCCGTAACTGCTAGGAAGAGACTAGTGCTGCTTTCATGGTATATAATAGCAGTAATGACCTCTAAAGGCTGGGCATTCACTGGCAGAGATAAGGCTGTGAGGCCATTAACTGCTGAGAAATGGCCTCCTCATCTCAGGATTGATTAGCTACATCGGTACAATTATCTCCTTTGCAGAGCTAAAGAGCTGCTGTCCGAACTCTGGGAAACATTTTAATCTTGAGTCTCTTTCTCTTGTTTCTTTTTCCGGTTCAGGCGGACAATCCGGGCCGAGAATCACCAAGGAGTGTGCTTCAGAGTGCTCCAGTCATGGGATAAGCTATGGGAGACTAACGGAGTATGTTTCCTGCTGCAGTTCATTCTTGTGCAACATCAGTGGGGCCAACAGCGTGAAAATCAGCTACTCGGTGCTGGCCATGGAGATCTTGGCCAGCTTCATCTACATCAGGGCCGGACTGTGATGGGCCAGGAAAAAGAACTTGATGGCCTGAAGAACCTGCTCAGGCTTTTCCATTGAGACACCAAACCCCTCTCTGTGCAAAGCTATACTGGGGATACCAATGGTGCCCTTTCTTCCAAACTCTCTCTCAGATCCCATTAGACAATACCTGCCCTCTTGCCGTTCACAAGAAAATCCTGCTGCTGTCACTGGGTGCCCCTCTGTGCCTCTCAGCAGATCTGGATTGCTGCCATGTTTTTGGGTGTAGGAGGCCTGGGAAGCTCAACTGAAGAGCTGCCCCACTGTGCCCCCTGCTGCCCCACTATGGAGATGAAAAATTATAAATGAAATGAGGTGAAAAATTACAAATCTTTATGTAGTTACAAGAATCCCTGAGAGGTTGTCACAAGGGGCTTTATTCACCATTTCCGTACACAGCGTGCAATCCTTCCTCCCTGTGCAAAGTGGGTGTCAAACAGTACCAAATAACAATGGTGGCATTTTACACTCACTTTGCACTTTAGCAAATGACATCATAGGGTGCAAAGTCCTCAGTAGAGCACAGGATCGGGTTCAAGAGGTGACTACAGCTGGACCGCTTGATAATAGTGACCATAGTATAATTAAATTTAACATCCCCTGTAGCGGGGAAAACAACAGAGCAGCCCAACACTGTAGCATTTAATTTCAGAAAGGGGAACTGCACAAAAACGAGGAAGTTAGTGAAACAGAAATTAAAAGGTACGGCACAAAAAGTGAAATCCCTGCAAGCTGCATGGAAACTTTTTAAAGACACCATAATAGAGGCTCAACTTAAATGTATACCCTGTTGCGGTCCAAATACAAGACAGAACAAGGCTTTAAGCAAGCAAGCAGGCTGGTCTGCCGACGGGCTGGTCTCCTGTCAGCTTTCCACCCTCTCTTTTATTCTTTCTCTCCCCCCGCGCATTACATACTCCAACAGATAAAAGGAATACACTGGCTTTGTTTAATATTCTTATTTACCAATATCTATCTACTGCATTCCTTGCTCTCAGGCCTTGAGCCCAGTCCTGGGAGGCTTCCCACGGTTCATGTCATCTGGGCGAGATTCCAAGGTTCATGCCCTTGAGAGGAGCCGTGTGTGCACTGCTCCTACACAACACTCTGGGTGTGCCCTGAATGTTGCCAAGTGCATGAACCTTGCATGAATGCTACAATACCCCAAACTGAAAAACACAGTAAGAGAACCAAAAAAGTGCCACCGTGGCTAAACAACAAAGTAAAAGAAGCAGTGAGAGGCAAAAAGGCATCCTTTAAAAAGTGGAAGTTAAATCCTAGTGAGGAAAATAGAAAGAAGCATGAACTCTGGCAAATGAAGTGTTAAAATATAATTAGGAAGGCCAGAAAAGAATTTGAAGAACAGGTAGCCAAAGACTCACAAAGTAATAAATTTTTTTTAATACATCAGAAGCGAGAAGCCTGCTAAACAACCAGTGGGGCCACAGGATGATTGAGATGCTAAAGGAGCACTCAAGGAGGATAAGGCCATTGTGGAGAAACTAAATGAATTCTTTGCATCGGACTTCACAGATGAGGATTTGAGAGAGATTGCCACACCTGAGCCATTCTTTTTAGATGACAAATCTGAGGAACTGTCCCAGATTGAGATGTCATTAGAGGAGGTTTTGGAACAAACTGCTAAACGAAACATTAATAAGTCTCCAGGACAAGTCTCCAGATGGGATTCACCCAAGAGTTCTGAAGGAACTCAAATGTGAAATTGCAGAACTATTGTAAGCTATCATTTAAATCAGCTTCTGTACCAAATGACTGGAGGAGAGCTAATGTGATACCAGTGTTTAAAAAGGGATCGAGAGGGGACCCCAGCAATTACAGGCGTGTAAGCCTGACTTCAGTACTTGGCAAACTAGTTGAAACTATAGTAAAGAACAAAATTGTCAGACACGTAGATGAACATAATTTGTTGGGGAAGAGTCAACATGGTTTTTGTGAAGCGAAATCATGCCTCACCAATCTGCTAGAATTCTTTGAGGGCATCAACAAGCATGTGGACAAGGGGGACCCAGTGGATATAGTGTACTTAGATTTTCAGAAAGCCTCACCAAAGGATCTTAAGCAAAATAAGATGTCACGGAATAAGAGGGAAGGACTTCTCATGGATTGGTAACTGGTTAAAAGATAGAAACAAAGGGTAGGTATAAACGGTCAGTTTTCAGAACAGAGAGAGGCAAATAGTGGTGTCCCCTAGGGGTCTGTACTGGAACTAGTCTTATTCAACATATTCATAAGTGATCTGGAAAAAGGGGTAAACACTGAGATGGCAAAATGTGCAGATGATACAAAACTACTCAAAACAGTTAAGTCCCAGGCAAAGAGCTACAAAAGGATCTCTCAAAACTAGGTGACTGGGCAACAAAATGGCAGATGAAATTCCATGTTGATAAATGCAAAGTAATGCACATTGGAGAACATAATCCCAACTATACGTATAAAAGGATGGGGTCTAAATTAGCTGTTACCACTCAAGAGAGAGATCTTGGGGTCATGGTGGATAGTTCTCTGAAAACATCCACTCAATGTGCAGTGGCAGCCAAAAAAGCGAACAGAGTGTTGGGAATCATTAAGAAAGGGATAGATAATAAGACAGAAAATATTCTCTTTCCTCAATATAAATCCATGGTACTCCCACATCTTGAATACTGTGTGCAGATGTGGTCGCCCCATCTCAAAAGAGATATATTGGAATTGGAAAAGGGTCAGAAAAGGGCAACAAAAATGATTAGGGGTATGGAACGGCTTCCGTTGAGGAGAGATTAATAAGACTGGGACTTTTCAGCTTGGAAAAGAAACGACTAAGGGGGGATATGATAGAGGTCTGTAAAATCATGACTGGTGTGAAGAAAGTAAATAAGGAAGTGTTATTTACTCCTTCTCATAACACAAGAACAAGGGGTCACCAAATGAAACTATTAGGCAGCAGGTTTAAAACAAACCAAAGGAAGTATTTTTTCACACAATGCACAGTCAGTCTGCGGAACTCTTTGCCAGAGGATGTTGTAAAGGCCAAGACCATAACAAGGTTCAAAAAAGAACTAGGTAAGTTCATGGAGGATAGGTCCATCAATGGCTATTAGCCAGGATGGGAAGGGATGGTGTCCCTAGCCTTTGTTTCCCAGAAGCTGGGAATGGGCAACAGGGGATGGATCACTTGACAATTACCTGTTCTGTTCGTTCCCTTTGGTGTACCTGGCATTGGCCACTGTCGGAAGACAGGATACTGGGCTAGACGGACCTTTGGTCTGACCCAGTACGGCCGTTTTTATGTTCTTATGAGGAAATTTCTCTCCCTTTCCTGCCCTGAATAACCATGAGTCACCATGCCAAGAAAAAAAAAAAAAGAGAGAGAGAGAGAGAGAGAGAGAGGAACAAAACTTTTAAAAACACCTATAAACTTTAAATCCCTTATCTTGAAGAAAACTCCAAAACTTGGTGTGGTAGATCCAGCATACAAAAGAAATATTAATGTTATTATTTCTGTTTGTAAGTTATCTGCACAAATGTCTTTGCAGGCATAAAGTGAGTGTGCTGTACATAGGCCAGCACCTACAAGGCCTTATAGAAACAAGATAGACTAGTCACCTGAAAACCTTGGAAATAATCGTCAATGATTTGGAAGAGAGTCAGAGTATTCAGTCAAATGGGAAGGTACCTGATGACCTGTCCACTGAAGAAAGAGGTCTATTGGAAGTGACAGAATCATCCAAATGCTTGTTCTTAGCTAGGGTCGGAGAATGTGTGGCACTGCACCCCATATTCTTCACAGAGACATTATGACGAGATGATTATGCCATAATTATAATGGATTTTGTGCCAGAGAAGTCGTGTGAGGTGTCATTGGGAAAAGTTATGATTTGCTGAATAGGATTATCCTATTTGTACCCCTGTATCGTTTTTGTATCTGAAGTCATAAACATCGACTATGTGTCTGTATTTCAAGTGTAGTTACATCTGGGTATCACCCCTTAGACAAGATGCTTTCAGTCTAGACAGTGGGTGGGGAAGGGCCTATTCAGGGCAATGGGCCATTAGGAAAAAACAACAGGCATTAGGAGAAGCTCATCTGTCACCTGGTGAGCCTTCCTGAGAACACTCCAAACAGCCTGTCAGTAATGGCTGCTATGACTCTGCAAGGAGATGTGATCAGACCACATATCTCTGGACGCTATCTTGGGATGTCATTATTTTTTCACAGCTTTGAAAAAAAGGGTTCTTGCCATATGCAAAAGCTATATAAGGCAGGGAGTGACATCATCAGGTGTTCTTCACTCCCCACACAAGAAGACTCTTGGAACAAAGACTGAACTGGGGGAAGTGCTGGACCAGGATAAAGGGATTTCTAGCCTCTGAATGAAACACCTGGGGATTTCAAGCTGAAAAGCAAGTGCAGCTTGCCCCTTAAGAATCTGCAGCCTGCTTGTATCATCTTTTAGGCTGAGAATCTGCTAATTCATATCCAATTTCTTTACTATATTAAGCTTAGTTTGTGTTTTTTGTTTATCTGCTAGATAACCTGCTTTGAGCTGTTGGCTTTCACTTATAATCACTTAAAATCTCTCTTGGTAGTTAATAAACTTGTTTTTGCTTTATCTAAACCAGTGAGTTGAAGTGAAGTGTATGGGAATCTTAGCTCAAGGGGCAAAGGCTTTTGCATATTCCGCTCCACATTGAGGTAGGGGGCGAACTTTATGAGTTTACACTATACAGTTCCCTGTACAGCACAAGATGGTATAATTTTGGGTTTATACTCCAGAGGGGGTGCGTGCCTGAGGAGCTGGGAGCTGCCTTAGCTGTAGCCTTCTGATGCAGAGGCTGGTCAGAGAGTCTGCATGTAACTGCAGCTGGGTGTGTCCCTACCTATATGTATGCTGGTGAAAGTGCAGGCTGGAGGGCTTTGCAGCTTGTCACAGCAGTACAGGGTGAGAGGGAGCCCAGGCTGGTGGGTCAGGGGTTCAGTAATACCCCAGTTCCAAGTGGCACCCCGGGGGATCTTGCCACAGAACGATTTTGAAAATTTTTGCTCCTATGAACAGTTACCTTCCAAAGGAATTAACATAGCTTATTAAAGGACAGGTTTCAGAGTAACAGCCGTGTTAGTCTGTATTCGCAAAAAGAAAAGGAGTACTTGTGGCACCTTAGAGACTAACCAATTTATTTGAGCATAAGCTTTCGTGAGCTACAGCTCACTTCATCGGATGCATACTGTGGAAAGTGTAGAAGATCTTATTATATACACACAAAGCATGAAAAAATACCTCCTCCCACCCCACTCTCCTGCTGGTAATAGCTTATCTAAAGTGATCACTCTCCTTACAATATGTATGATAATCAAGTTGGGCCATTTCCAGCACAAATCCAGGGTTTAACAAGAACGTCTGGGGGGGGGCGGTGTAGGAAAAACAAGGGGAAATAGGCTACCTTGCATAATGACTAAGCCACTCCCAGTCTCTATTCAAGCCTAAGTTAATTGTATCCAATTTGCAAATGAATTCCAATTCAGCAGTTTCTCGCAGGAGTCTGGATTTGAAGTTTTTTTGTTGTAAAATAGCGACTTTCATGTCTGTAATCGCGTGATCAGAGAGATTGAAGTGTTCTCCGACTGGTTTATGAATGTTATAATTCTTGACATCTGATTTGTGTCCATTTACTCTTTTACGTAGAGACTGTCCAGTTTGACCAATGTACATGGAAGAGGGGCATTGCTGGCACATGATGGCATAGATCACATTGGTGGATGTGCAGGTGAACGAGCCTCTGACAGTGTGGCTGATGTTATTACGCCCTGTGAGACGTTCTTGTTAAACCCTGGATTTGTGCTGGAAATGGCCCAACTTGATTATCATACATATTGTAAGGAGAGTGATCACTTTAGATAAGCTATTACCAGCAGGAGAGTGAGTTTGTGTGTGGGGGGGGGGTGAGAAAACCTGGATTTGTGTTGGAAATGGTCCACCTTGATTATTATACACATTGTAAGGAGAGTGATCACTTTAGATAAGCTATTACCAGCAGGAGAGTGAGTTTGTGTGGGGGGGGGGGGTGAGAAAACCTGGATTTGTGTTGGAAATGGTCCACCTTGATTATTATACACATTGTAAGGAGAGTGATCACTTTAGATAAGCTATTACCAGCAGGAGAGTGGGGTGGGAGGAGGTATTTTTTCATGCTTTGTGTGTATATAATAAGATCTTCTACACTTTCCACAGTATGCATCCGATGAAGTGAGCTGTAGCTCACGAAAGCTCATGCTCAAATAAATTGGTTAGTCTCTAAGGTGCCACAAGTACTCCTTTTCTTCTTACTAAAGGAGTTGAACTGATTAGTTACCTTTGAAGAACTTCAATAAAATAAAGAAACATTTGAAGGTTTTGTCCTCAGAGATTTCATTCAAGCCCTCTGTTTTGAAAGACGCATGTGATGAAGCATCAACATTCGCTTGTGCCAGCAAAATAGCCAAAATACTGCCCCCCAAAAGTCAAGGTTCGATAGTCACGGAGCACTTGCTCAATGACACTTTGGAATGCGGGTACCAATCAGTGGTCTCAGATTCATCATGAACTGATTGATGAAACCAGGGGTGAATTGCAAAGGAGATTCTCTGAGAGGAACTACAAGTTTTACAAAAGTTTGTCAGCAATCTTGTTCCATCAGCTCTCCAGATGTCTTGAAATTGAAATCACTGTGCTTTGATTGATTTGCATGGATTAGATATTGAGAAAGCAAAAGTTGAAATGGCTGGATTTAAGCCACTGATAAATAAGAGACATTGCAAAGAATGTGATGAATGTCTAGATGCTGGCAAGGAATTAAAAGAGGCTTTTCCATGTATGTTTGAAATGTTTATAGTGGTCTTGTTGTTTGGAGCATTAACTGCAGCATGTGAGAATTCTTTGTCTTGTCACAGGTCCTTATGCATGGCAGACTCTTCCCTGAACTGATTTGTAAGGCTGCAGCCTCTCCACCTTCCAGGCCCATTGCTGCCACAGCACCTACAATTCGCTAACCAGTCTGCAATGGCTTGGCTGAGCGGTGGCTGGCAGCTCCGGCAGAGAGAACAGCTCTCGACCCCCCAAGCCTGCCCATGCGTGACCACAAGCCAACATCACTTGTGACCAGCGGCCGAATTGTGGGACATCTGGTTTTTGTTGCACGTTGTGCTGTAATTGATTAGGATGATTATTAACTATGAAGCCTATTGTTAGGGATGTTTACTCACCCTGTCAAACAAATAGATCAGCAGGAGTCATGCCCAGTGGTGAAAGCAGGAGTCAGTAGCCAGAAGTTGGAGCCAAGGGTCAAAGACTGGTTACTTGGAGTGAGACAAGGAAGGAAGGAGAAGCTGCTTGGCTTAATAGCCAGTCTGCTGACTCTTCCCACCAGTGGGGCGGGGATAGCCAATCGGGCAGCCTACTGCAGGCCAGCTCATGTGCTCATTAAGTTGCCCAGAGACTGGCCCTGCTGCAGGCCCTGAGTCAGTCGGTTACAAAAAAAAGGAAGGTCCTAGCTGAGGGGCTTGGGGATTTCGGGAGAGGGTCCCTGCCAGTGGGTATCAGATGGAGGGAGGTGTAGAGAAGCAGGAGTGATCCCCGCTTCATCTGCCCCAGATTCTACTAATGCCTCCCCTGGCCCCAATGCAATCAATGCTGCTGCCCACTACCCCAAGTCAATTAAGTGGGATAAGGCAGACCCTACCCGAGGGCTCTTTTCTTGCTGTCGCTGCTCTTGACCCCTTAGTACCTCCTCCAGCATCATCCCTGTGCCCTGATCGGGGTCCCTGGTGCTACCGTAATTTAAATCTTAAATAGCTCACCCAAGAAACTACATTAAAGTTGCAAAGTCAAGCACTTGAAAACTAGCAAATGCGAGGTAGGTTTTTACTTGCCCTAGCAACTTAATTCTGCCCCCTGTGTGACCATCCCTGGATGCACTGAATGAGGCACTTGTCCTGTGGGGAAAAACCCTGGGGTGCCAGTAGCATGCCAGGTGTGCTGCGACTTGGAGGCAAGCAGTGTAGATGCCAGCCCTGGCGGGTCCCAGTAACCGCTCTGAGGCATGGCTACGGGAAAGGGTATTTTACTAGGCCTGGCAGGAAAGGGAAGGTTGCAAATACCCTTTGTGCAGTTACAGTTCACAGTGAGCAAGAGCAGTTCTTGTTTGAGTCCCTGGGACAGTCCACTCAAGTCAGGTCTCTTCAGACCGAGAGCATGGGGTGCCCTCTCCAGGACAGTCCCTATTCAAGCAAATAGGAGCTCTGAAGTTTCCAGGCCAGGCTCAGTTAGTGTCTCTCATTGGGGCCCCTCTGCACTGGCTCCTTGCCCAGCTGCTGCTGGTCCCCCGTCAGCCCCACACAGACCAGCACCCGTCTGCAATGCCCAGCACGCAGCCTGTTCCACACCCAACTCTGCAGACAGTTCTTTGCATCCCGCTTCTCTGCAGCTCCTGGTTAGCCATGCGGCTGCTGCCTCCCAAAAGAGCCCCATCATTTTCAGCTCAGGGTCCTTCCTCCTAGCTGGCCTGGAGAAAGGGAAGCGCTGTGGGGAAGGGACTGATGGGAGTTGTAGTCCCCTTGCGTAGCAGAATCATCACACCTAACTTTCGCGTGCTTGACTTTGCAAAGTAAATAAAGGAAAGGTCACAGGAACCCATTTTAATGGACAAGCCTCAGGCCACAGAAATACAGAGGCCAGTACCACCGCCCCCGGTAATTCAGCACTAAATAATAATACATGATGAGAGAACTGTGGAAACTTAGAATCATAGAATATCAGGGTTAGAAGGGACCTCAGGAGGTCATCTAGTCCAGCCCCCCCGCTCAACGCAGGTCCAGCCCCCTGCTCAAAGCAGGACCCCAACTAAATCACATTCTGGGACATTTTAAACTAGACTGGAGAAAGCCAAGAGAAGGATGCAGTCTCTTGGAAAGGAAATGGGTTTAAATTAGGAGTTCTCGCCCGGGCTGGGGTTTGACAATATCAGAATGTTCTGTGGGAACGTGTTGATTTGGCCGAAACTTCTGAGAGAAACCGGTCTGACTTCCTGCCAGCTCACCACCCAGCTCCTCAGCAGCTCACCTGTACTGAAGTATTGGAACTGGGGTTTCCCAAATCCCCAGGCAGCCATCTCCCCAGGCTGTCTGCTACCCCGTCCCTGAGGGAGCTGGCTCCCCTACCACTGGACAGCTGGCTGGCTCCGTGGTTCTCCTGACTCCCTACCTGGTGGGCTGCCCCACTCCCGGGAGCCCCATGCTCGCTGGCTCCCCAGGTGCTGCCTGGGGACTGCCATGCTGCCTGAGTTTCCTCACTGCTGACTCCCCAGACAGCCAGCTTCCTGGTCTGCCCAACAATTCCCACCTGCCCTGCTCCTTGCAACTCCTTGCTGCCTGTCTTCCCATCCGCCTGCCTGGCAGGCTGCCCCACTCCTTGAGCTCCCCAATTCCCAGTGCTGCCTGCCTCCCGCTCTGCGGGGCTGCCTCGCTCCTTGGTGCCTTGGGCTGCACAGCCAGCTGGGCTGATGGGGAGTCGGGCAGCTGGAGGCATCAAGGAGCCAGTTCAGCACAGCACCCTGCCAGGCCGGGTGGCAGGTGCCCTAGGGTTCTGGGAGATCAGGGTGCTGAAGAGCGAGCTAGCCAGGCATTCTGGGAACGTGTTTTGCTTTTTAAAAACCATTTTTAAAAGTCTGAAACACTTAGACTTTTCAGTCCCCTCCCTCTGCACCCCCTTGAGCTTTTAACTTTTCATCCGGATTTGGGACAGAAAGATTTATTACCAACTGGAACTTTTTAAGAGCAGGGAGCTCCTCTGTTCTGGCCAGCTGCACTGGTGACCCCTGTCCGTCTCTCCGCACCTGGAAGGCAGGAAGCAGGCTCCCCACCCTCTTTGCTGTTGGAACCCGGTATGGAAAAGGTTAAGAATCACCGGATTAGACAATAGAGTAGGGTGTCTGGTGTCTGGTTTATGCAGTGTCTGGCTTATGCAGTGTATTAACCATCAACTTGTGCAAAAGCTTTTTGCACAGTAATGCTTTAGTCCTCCTGCATTTCCTCCTCCCTCCAGACTGCAGCGGGGAAACAAAACCAAACACAATTACATTTCCTGGAGAACTGCATTCTGTTAAGACTTTGAGCCTTGTTTCCTGTGGCTTCTCTTGATACAAACCCACGTGAGCAAACTCCCTGCACATCCCACACCCAGCCATCAATCTCCTGTCTCCTCCCTGCTAACTCGCAGTCTTTCCATGCACTGCCTTCACAGGAAAACACCAAGATCCTCATTTATACCCAGCCCCCCAAGAAGCAGCTTCCCTTCTGCCCGCGCTGTGACGGCAGGCCGAAGATGAAGGCTTTTCTTCTCTCCCTGCTGGTGGCGGTTCTGTGTGTGGAGCAAGGTGAGATGCTGCTCATGATCCCTCTGTGCCAGACAAAGAGCCAGGGAAGCGGCTAGAAATGGCAGGGGTAGAGGGGGATTTTTGCAGCACCGTGGGCAAAGATTCTACCTTTAAGTGGGAGCTGGCACTTCTGCAAACCCCCCTTTGCAGCCAGCTGCTTGGTCCTGCGAAGCAACGGCTGGTGCGTTGGCTGTCTTTTGAGCACTAGCTTGTGTGGATGTAATAAAAATAGCTCAGTGCAGGCATAGCAAATTATCTCAGTTTCATGGTGCTTTGGGGGATGCAGTGCTCTGGATGCAAGAGGGAGCACGGTTCTGTGGATCTGGATTTGTGCTTGTTCCAACAGCAGCATGTCTTGAGAGGCCTAGAGGGGGATGAGCGGGGGCTGACTACCCCTAGAGACCTATCTCGTCATCTCTTAAAGAAATCTTTTATACGGTTATCCTCTGAGCTAGGCTCTTTTACTCAGGGCGATCAGTGCTTCTCAGCATTGCTTTCTTGCAACCATAATTTTTGCAAGTTCTTCTACTGTAATCAGCTAAAAACATCAGGGTCTGATTATGATCCCAGATACAGTGGAGTAAATCAGGAGTAACTGCACTGAATTCAATTAATTTGGAGGAATGGAACATCGCCACAAGTGAGATCAGACTCAGGCCCTGCGTTCTTACAATGCTGTAGTGCAGAGATGGGCAAACTACGGCCCGCGGGACCGTCCTGTCCAGCCCTTGAGCTCTCGGCCAGGGAGACTACCCCTGGCCCTTCCCCCGCTGTCCCTCCTCCCTCGCAGGCGTGCCGCAGCGCGGGCAGCAGTCAGGACCACCGCTCCTGTCGGGCAGCATGGCGCTGGCTCCGGCATGGTAAGGGGGTGGAGAGCGGGGGCGGGGGAGGGTGTTGAATAAGGGGTAGGGGGACCCAAGGGCCAGTCAGGGGACAGGGAGCGGGGGGCAGTTGGATGGGTCGGGGATTCTGAGCGGGGCGCGAGGTGGGAGGGGGTGGATAAGGGGCAGGGGCCAGGCTGTTTGGGGAGGCACAGCCTTCCCTACCCGGCCCTCCATACAGTTGTGCAACCCCGACCGGGCCTGCGGCTGCGGTTTGCCCACCCCTGCTGTGGTGGAATCCGGTAATATGGGAGGGGGTCACAGCAGTAGGCTCCGGTTGGAGGGGCCACTGGTTGATTCTTAATGCAGGATCATTTTACTCCTCCAACTCTTCCTGAGCTCATCTGGTTTTAAAAATAAGGAGGTCTGGGGCGGTTTGATACTTGGATGGGAGACCTCCAGGGGTAAAAGGTGTTTGTGGAACAGGCTTTTATTTATTTATTTATTTATTTGCCACTAAAGCTAGGAAGAACAGGCTCGGTTATTAACCAACGAATGTTCACTTGTTCGAAGATTTCCCCATTTATATGCTCCCAGATGTTGTTGTCTTTTGATTGTCTATACAAATGTATTATCCCCCTCTCTTACTGTTTACTCACATTAATGTACATAAATAAGTCACCCCAAGACCTGCACCGGGCGCCAGGGTAAACTACAGCCTGAGCCCAAGGGAACTGACCAGCTCCAGCCACCTGGGTTCCTGGCTCAGAAATCAAGAACACTTCCAATTCCATGGGGTCCACAGTGAGAAACAACCAGTTGATTTCTCACTGCTCTTAAGATGATCTTAGCTGCCCCCTCTAGATACTCACTCCGGATCCCACACCGGAGTGTCTAAACACATCGTGATTTCAACCAAGTGGACCCAGAGAGTGTGTTATTTTCCCAGTCCCAGTCTCTATGTGGTCTAATTAAGCCCAGAGCGTGAGAGAAATCTGCTGGTCCCCGTGCCTGGACAGCAGACACCCTTTGCCAGGCAAATGGGGTTATTGCAAGTAGCTTTGCCCCTACCTCAGAGGTGGGCAAACTGATGTGGCCCTCGGGACCGTCCTGCCCGGCCCCTGAGCTCCCGGCGAGGGAGGCTATCCCCCCGCCCCTCCCCCGCTTTCTCCCCTCCCCCGCAGCCTCAGCGCGCCATGCCGCCCGCACGCTGGCCTGCCGGAGAGCACGGGCAGAGTGGCTGGCTCCAGCCGGGTGGCGGGGCTGCGAGCTCCTTCTGCTCTGAGCAGCATGGTAAGGCGGCGCAGAGGTTGGATGGGGCAGAGGTCCTGGGGGGAGGGGCAGTCAGGGGAGAGGGAACAGGGGCGATTGGATAGGTGTAGGAATCCCGGGGGACTGTCTGGGGGTGGGGATGTGGATAGGTGTTGGGGCAGTGAGGGGACAGGAAGCAGGGGGGATTCGATAGGGGGTGGGGTTCTGGAGGGCGGTTAGGGGGACAGGGGAAGCAGGGGAGGTTGGATGGGGTGGAGGTTCTGGGGGAGTGTCAGGGGACGGGGAACAGGGGGGTTTGGATAGGCGTGGGAGTCCCAGGGGGCCTGTCAGGGGACAGGGAGCGGGGGGGATGGATATGGGGTGGGATCCCAGGGGGCAGTTAGGGGCGCGGATCCCGGGAGGGGGCAGTCAGAGGACAAGGAGCAGCGGGGGTTGGATGGGTCAGGGATTCTGAGCGGGGCAGTCAGGGGGTGGGAAGTGGAAGGGGGCGGATAGGGGGCGGGGGACAGGCTGTTTGGGGAGGCACAACCTTCCCTACCCATCCCTCCATACTGTTTGGAAACCCCATTGTGGTCCTCAGGCCAAAAAGTTTGCCCACCCCTGTCCTTCAGCAACAGGAATATTCCTTTTGCCATGCAAGGAGCCTCTCCCAAGGAACTCCCTTTGCTTTAGTCGGCTACGCACTAACCTGCCTTGAAGACATCACATGGTGTTTAAATGCCAAGTACTGGGCTGTTGAAGGAGAGCAGTGGTTTCCTGGAGAACACAGACAGAGCTGGCGTGGGCAGTAACGGCCTGACCCAAAGCCCAGTGGTGTCAGCGGGAGCCTTTCCACTGACTGCACTGGGCTTTGGGTCGGGGCTTGAAAGCCTTGGCCGAGCTGTGCTCTTTGCAAGGTCAGATTGCACAGGTCTTATCTAAGGCATTTCCTGAGGGTTGTGTTGTATCTCATGAGTTCGTCAGCATCTCTAGTAGCTGAGCACCAAAAGCTTCTTCCCCTGGCAAATTGTTCCATCATCTGATTGGTGGCAACTGGTTTTTGCGCTTGCATTGCTTAGGTTCTTTGTTCTGCAGTTTCAGTCTCAGCCTCCTTAAATAATTCCTCCCTCTTCATTACGTTTTCTATTATTAGCTATTTTTCAGGAGCCCGTTGTTTCTGTTTTTTCTCTGTAATGTACTTAGTAGTACTGGCATTTGACTTGGTGCCGTGTGAGATTTTGATGAAAAAACTAGACTGACAGAACATTAGCATGGCACATACTGACTACGGCCACGTCTACCCTGGCGCGCTTACAGTGGCATGGCTGTACCGATGCAGCTGCGCCTCGGTACGATCTCTCGTGTGGCTGCTGTATGCCGACCGGACAGAGCTCTCCCGCTGACAGAATTAAACCACCCGCAATACGTGGTTGCAGTTATGTTGGCGGGTGAGTGACATAGCACTGTCCACACTAGCAGTTAGGTCGGTGTAACTGATGTCTCTCCGGGTGTGTGGTGGGGGGGGTTCACACCTGTGAGCCGCGTAAATTTTGCCGACATAAGTGGTAGTGTAGACCTGGCCTAAAAGCTGGCTCGCTGATAGGTGTCGCAATGTAATTATCAATGGGGAATCATCAATGAGTGGGTGTGTCTCCAGTGGGATCCTGCAGGGAATCAGTTCTTGGCCCTATGCTATTTAACATTTCTATCAGTGACCTGGAAGAAAACAACGTCATCACTGATAAATTTACAGGTGACAGAAAAACTAGGGGAGTGGTAAATAATGAAGAGCTCAGGTCACTGATCGAGAGCAATCTGGATTGCTTGGTAAGCTGGGCGCAAGCAAACAGTCTGCGTTTTGATATGGCTAAATGTAAAGGTATACATCTAGGGACAAAAATGTCGACCATATTTACAGGAGGGGGGACTCTCCCTGGGAAGCAGTGACTCTGAAAAAGCTTTGTGAGGCCGTGGTGGATAATCTGCTGAACATGAGCTCCCAGTGTGACCCTGTGGCCAAAAGGGCTAATGTGATTCTTGGATGTATAACAGGAATTTTGAGTAGGAGTACAGAGGCTATTTTACCTCTATATTTGCCACTGGTGCGACCGCTGCTGGAATTCTGTGTCCAGTTCTGAAGATCGACAAGTCAAGAAGGATGTTGGTAAATTGGAAAGGGTTCAGAGAAGAGCCACGAAAATGTTGAGTGTTAGAAAACCTGCCTTATAGCTGTAGACTCAAGGAGCTCAATCTATTTAGCGTAACAAAGAGAAGGTTAAGGGGTGATTTGATCACAGTCTGGAAGTGCCCACACAGAGAACAAATACTTAATAATGGGCTCTTCAATCTAGCAGAAAAAGCGATAACAATATCCAATGTCTGGAAGTTGAAGCTGGACACATTCAGACTGGAAATAAGGCATAAATTTGTAACAGTGAGAGTCATTAACCATTGGAACAATTTACCAAGGGTCATGATGGATTGTCCATCACTGGCAAATTTTAAATCAAAATTGGGTGTTTTTCTAAAACCTCTGCTCTAGGAATTATTCTGGGGGCAGTTCTCTGGCCTGTGTTTTATAGGAGGTCAGCCTAGATGTTCACAATGATCTTATAAATCTGGGAATCTAGTACAGACATTTTTTATTGTGGGTATTACAGGAGAAGAATCATAGAATCATAGAATATCAGGGTTGGAAGGGACCTCAGGAGGTCATCTAGTCCAACCCCCGGCTCAAAGCAGGACCAATCCCCAACCAAATCATCCCAGCCAGGGCTTTGTCAAGCCTGACCTTAAAAACTTCTAAGGAAGGAGATTCCACCACCTCCCTAGGTAACGCATTCCAGTGTTTCACCATCCTTCTAGTGAAAATTTTTTTCCTAATATCCAACCTAAACCTCCCCCACTGCAACTTGAGACCATTACTCC